TATTTGCTATTGACTGTTCTAATGCGGAGTTTTGCGCAGCGCAGAGTAATGCGTTGTGTGTGTGTGTGTGTGTGTGAGGGGAACAGGGTCACATCACAGGAGAGTGAACTGTCTTTCAGAAATCATAGCACATCAGCTGTCTTAACCGCGGCTTGTGTACTGCATCATCACTGTGTCTGTTGCTCTTTCGGGCTTGAACTGATGCTAAAACTAACGACATTATTAACTGTCTTGATATTTACTTTGAAAGCTGACGCTTGCGATTATGGTAAGGGGCGTTACATTTCCGACGCGTGCTTGTGGTGTTCGGCCAATCACAATGCACTGGGTCAGCTGGCCAATCAGAGCAGACTGCGCTTGTCGGAAGGAGGGACTTTGTAGAAAACGAATCGTTTGAGAGAGGCGGGGCATAGAGGACCTACAGTAATGTACAGTATTTGAAAAAGAATGTGTTTTTTGAATATTAAAGCATGTCAACATATTCTGTTACACCAAATACACAAAATAATGATCTTTAAAATAGCATCATATGACCCCTTTAATAGACATAATTATTATATTTTTAGACATGATTGGACCGATAAATTAATATATTATAATTAATGTTAGACCCTATTTATTAATTTATTATTGATATTAATCATAAATATATACCTAATAAATAATCATATATGTCATAAACAATTTGGCATTTTAAAAAGTTTAAAAAATGCTAAATTCTTTATATAAAAATGGGACAAATAATTACGTAATAATGTAGTCCTAATTCAAGCAAATTAATAAAAAAAAGTATAATAATTCATCCCATCCATAACAGATGCAGAACTGAGACAAATAAAAAGAATGAATAATTATAAATAAGCAAATTAAAATAACAATATTAATGTGTTCTGCTGCAAGTTTACATACTTGAACATGTTTGCTCATAGTTTATTGTTGAGCTATGAGTTCCTCACTGATTATTTGTGTCCTTGGGGGTTTTTTTGTGGGGGAGAGGCAAAATAATGGCCCCTATTTTGCCTCGCTGAAGGTGGCAACCATTTTCCGCCATTTTGGGGTGAAAGCAACTCGGCAGTCCACTAGCTTCTAGCTGTTGCTATGGCAAATATCAGCTCCTTTGTTTACAAAAACCGTACATGAAAGCTGAAATACAGCCTGAATGATGACAACAATAACGTACAATCACTAGACTAGTGACACTCAAATCCTTTTAACAGCTTATTTTACAGACTTTATTTTAAAGTCTTCCCTTTTTTCACAAAACCTTTTGCTCTCTAGAAACCATGTCAGTTTCAGTTGAAAATATTTTAAGTTCAAGTGTTAGCATTATAAACACTGAATTAATAACAATAAATATATAACAGGAATATAACAGCTTGACAGTAAACTGTTTTTTCAGTATTGTCATATAGTAATGTCCGTTAAAGGAAGACTGTAAACAAAAAAAACTTTATGTAAAAATGTTTTTTTAAAACACACGTACAGTGCACTTTCTCCAAAATTATTTAATTATGATAGAGACACAATGCATCATGTTGTAATTTATATCATCATGTTTGTAGTGTGTTCCAGTGGATTAAAACGTACAATAGGCTATATATTTCAGACCTAGTGGAGTAATAGTAAATAATAATATAGTAAGTAATTGTAAATGTGTAAAGTTGCATAAGCTCATTACTTAGAGTCATATCCATATAAATCATTATTATGGTTTCTACGGCTAGGACCTGCAGTTCCTAAAATGATTTAAGTTTACTACTAGACTAAAAACAGCTAAAGTTAGCAGGTGCATAAGACAGCGCTACGTCCCCACTTCAAAACACACTATATTTTTACACTTTTGTAAATAATTACTTGTCAGGGTCTTTGGGAAAACTATGAAAGGCAAGATTTTTACACCCTATGTAAATCTACACCCTTGCCTCATTTACTATACGCTGATCTATGAATATGCAAATTAGTCCCGCCTCCACTCAGTCACACCAGCCAGTGCCTCCTGATCCACTGAACTGTAGTAAACGCAAAACAATGGCATACACGGATAATGACTGCTTAAACTACCTTTTTACTAGCGGACAACTACAGTGAATACTGTAACATTCATTAAAGTTACTTACTTGACGATGTTGTGTCCTAAAATATCTTGAAGACTCGAATACAGCCGTTTGTGATTGTTAATTTGCGCACGCGAGCAAATGCATGTGAAGTGCAGACGCCGATGCAGGAGAGGTGCGTCTTACTCCGGGCTACTTTTGCACTGTTGCCACGGGTTATAATGCAAGTTAGCGGTTCTAAATTCACATTAAACCACAGTTTCATGGGTTTTTTACTCTGATTTATTTTTGGTTTTGTGCTGGTATTGGTATATTTTGCATGCTAGTGATAGGAATCGATCCCTTGACGTGATTGGTTATTGGTTTGTGACGTAACAAACCGAGGGCTGTTTTAAACCGTATTTCTGGGTCAGCCTTTGGGAAACTACAGTTTTAAGGAGAAAATACTCAGCAATGGTGTTGATTAATAGATTGGCACATGGTTTGTCTAAAGGCGTATTAAAAACACCATATAGACAAATAAACAACATAAAAAACTTGATTTTGACTACAGGGGGACTCTAAATAATATGGAACAAAGATTAAATAATCAGTAATTAATAGATTTTATTGTGAATAAGATTTGTTTCATTAAGATCTACTAACTATGACCAACTGCTAATAAATGACTAAATCACAACATTAACATGTCTAAAATATGAGCTAGTCGTTGTGGCTTTTTTACTCTGAACATGGTGATAAAATACATTTTCTGAGAAGCTTGTGCCTTTTTTTTGTGGCAATGAATTAATGAACAGTACGTACCACAATAACCAACTAACTATTGCTCATTTAATATTTTTTCTGTGTTTCTTTTATGATTGCTTAAGCACAATTTTGAAACCGGGGCCTTTTTCAGGGTTTGTCAAAACACTACACACAATTAACAACCCTACACCAAAGTAACACAACACTTCAGATCATTTGCAAAATGGAACACTTTTTGTCAAAACTATACACAACTTTATAAAAACAATATTTTCAATACATATGACTTTTAACAAGTCTAATTCGCAGTGATTAGAGTACTGTAAATGAAGTACACAGAAAGTGCAACCATACAATAGTTCACCAAAGACTACACAAGACCAATGCTGCAGACTGACGAAAATATCATTGATTTCTCTCCATATACCCAAATCAGTCAACATGGAGAATCACAACAAAACATGTCCCAGTTGTCATGCTACTACAGTAGTGTTCATAACACTGTTAGCTCAGCAAACAACAGACTTAAAATACTGTATCCAGTACAGGTTACAATTACAGTAAACAACAACAACAACCATAAAAAAAATTCTGAAAAAACTGACAATATTGTACAGAAAATACTACAGTAAACATACTATACATTATCTCTTCGCCTAGCTGGATCTGGCCAGAGAATTTCATCAACATCACAAGCAATATCCTCATTAGCAAGACAACGTGGGAAGAACCGTCTTGAATGTCGAATCCATCCTTGCACAGCTGCGGCGTCGACTTGGTCACAGGCGTCCTCCATGGCCTGAATGAGGGGTAACTGAGCCTGGGGCTAGAGATCATAAACCTTCCACCGCCATGCAGAGAAACTCTTCGATAGGGTTTAGAAACGGAGAGTATGGTGGAAGGTATAGTACTTTCAGGATGCGTGCCAGTGTTGACTGAGAAACCTGATGGACATTATTGAAAATGGCATGGTCACCGATAATGTTTGCTTGTAGTTCTCTGAGCCTGATAGCATTATTGGCCAAAACCATGTTTATTATCTCTCTCTCTTGTTCTTGCGTGAATATGGGCCCCCTTCCTCCTTGTCGTTCCCGACCCTCAAGCCTATGTAGAGAATAATACATGTAACTTACTGTACAATGTCACAGGAAGGGGTATCACAAGTGCTGATATGGTGCATACAGTAAGCGGCTGATTATTGTAACTGTAGACAGATCTTTTACCGGTTTTCCTGTCGAAAAGTCCTTATGATAGATGCCACTCTATATCTGCTAAGATTTGGCTGAACTCTGTCCAGCCTCCCTCAGCGTCAATCCGTGGTTCACAACATGGTCCACTAGTGTTGCACGAATGCCCTTTGATAAGTTTGGTCCTCTTCTTTGTGCACATCTCTTCCTGCTTCAGGTCTTCCTCTGCCTCTGTGTACTCCTCCTCTCACCCTCACTCTTCTTCTGAATCCTTCCATTTTGGTTGAAGGCAGGTGAACCTACCTGCTGCATTTTTATAGTGCTTAAACCTGATTGGTGTGTCTACAATTTAGCAATCATGTGTTTGTGTACCTGATGGCTGTGTTTAACAGATTGGCTCATAGGTGTGGTAATTTGACAGTCAGTGCTTTGGAATTGCAAGGAAGTGACATCATGATATACTTCTGTGTCTGTATGTGTATACAAGTGTGTGTAATGTTTTGCAAATAGTGTGAAGCTGACAATGTGCTTACAGTTATGCAAATCTAGCCTTGTGTTTTGCTCCTTGAATGTAAGGTTTTGCTAATTGTTGGAAAAGTTTAATTTTAGTGTGTAAGCAATCGTAAAAAACTGTAAATTGGTCAAACAGCCATTTTAGGAAACAGCCAAGTAGGAAACCCAGGGAGCGCATGGACTCTCAAAACAGACGAAAGCGAAAGCATTTGCCAAGAATGTTCTCATTAATCAAGAATGAAAGTCGGAGGTTCGAAGACAATCAGATACCGTCGTAGTTCCGACCATAAATGATGCCGACCTGCGATCTGGCGGCGTTATTCCCATGACCCGCCGGGCAGCGTGCAGGAAACCACGAGTCTTTGGGTTCCAGGGAAGTATGGTAGCAAAGCTGAAAATTAAAGGAATTGACGGAAGGGCACCACCAGGAGTGGAGCCTGCGGCTTAATTTGCGGCAACCCGCTGAACCCCTCTCGTGATCGGGACTGGAGATTGAAACTATTTCCCATCAACGAGGAATTCCCAGTAAGTGCGGGTCATAAGCTTGCGTTGATTAAGTCCCTGCCCTTTGTACACACCGCCCGTCGCTACTACCGATTGGATGGTTTAGTGAGGTCCTCGGATCGGCCCCACAACAGCATCTATATTGTGTTTTTAACCATAAAATCACATCCTCCAAATCACAACATTGTCTGTTAGAATAGTCAGTGTACCTCATAGAAATTACCTAAATATAAATAATTATTAATATTATTATTATTATTATTTGTGAATCCCATGTGAAGCACTTACTGCTCAAGTGTTACATCATCACTCTTCAGAATCTACTGGTGATTTGGACCATTATTTTAAAGTGAAAAATATTTTAATGATGCATGCTATGATAATAAATTGATAAATACTTAATAAAGAATTGGTAATTATTTATAATTGGTCATAGTTAGTTAAAGGGGTCATGACATGTTTTTATTTTTATTTTTATTTTGTTATGTTCCCTGAGGTGTAATTATAACATTACTAAAACTGATTGACTTTTTCCACCTGTTTTCCATCCTCTGACTGAAATAGTCGGTTTTGGGGTGTTTTCCCTTTAAGAGGTCAGTGTAACCGCCCCCTTTTATGATTGACTAACATCCATTAACACCATTTCCGTCATTACCATTTTAAAAATTGTTTTTACATGAAATACATTACTTACAGTTTGCGGCGTCGTTGTTGGGTCCAGAACAGTTGGCACGGCCTGATCTTTGAGTAAAAGTATTTTGGCAAAACCAGCATCATACTGCGATTTGTAATCAAAGCAGTCAACGTTGAAATGTACCGAACATACGCATAAATTAGCACTGACGTGACTGGGATGTTAAAAAAAAATAAACTGAATACATTTTTCTCTGACGTCGGGATCCTTCGGCAGTGTCTACAAACATGTTGTTTTTCTACAGCCAGGAACGGCACATCGTCTGCCTGGCATCGCAATTTTATTGAAAACACTACTCCTTCAGAGTCAGAGCCACTCGCTGCACAACGACTGAACACCTGTTGGCGTGACAACGATGCCATGATGCAAAAGTAGGCATAGTTGTTTTGCTCTGGAAGCCGCATATGCAAATGACTGTGCCCAGGTGACGTCACCTTGTCCTTCTGATCCAAAATGAGCTGTTTTCTGAGGGTTATTACATAAATACGTTTTCATTGATGCTGAGGACATTTTAAGTTATGAAACTTGCAGGATGTATTAAGCATACAAAGATCTCTTCTATGTCAAAGGATCAAGGGAAATTTGGTTTCTCATTTCATGACCCCTTTAATAGTTCTAGTTAGTAGTGAAACTGTCTGATCTCATTGAGTATACATTGATTACCTAATAAGAAACTATCTCGGTCCTAAATTCACTATTGCTTACAGGTTAGTTAATCCTATTTCCATATTAATTTTTAGTAACTGAAATGTTGATGGTGTACTACTCATTTGTCCTGCATTACTTCCTGCATAGTTACCTATTAATGAGGGACCATTGTTTTTAAAGTGTTACCGCATATATGTCTGTAACACAAGTCAGTATTTTCAGAAGAATTATGACTATTTCTCTGCTGGTGCCACTATTGCCCTGTGCTCCAGATTGATTGATTTCACCAAGCCTTTTCAAAGCATTGACTACAAAACCAGAGACCACTGCCCTTGCTTTTAAAAGGGTAAAGGACTCACTACTTAGTGTCAACTTGCAAAAGCTTGCTAGCTTCTAGGCAAGGAGCAGTGTTGGGGGTAACGCATTACAAGTAATGCAAGTTACGTAATCAGAATATTTTTTTCAAGTAACTAGTAAAGTAACGCATTACATTTTAATTTACAAGAGAATATCTGAGTTACTTTTTAAAATAAGTAACGCAAGTTACTTTTTTTCCAATTTATTGATTGTCGGCTCTCCTGTCCCCATGTTGAGAGAAATCAGAAGATGTTACTCTAGTTCTGAAATAAATATGAATATGCATTAATTCATCTAAAAAAACACAGATTCAGTATTCCTCAAAATGAATAATAATAATGCAACTCAGAATATGACGCAAACCTGCAATAATTAAATGTTAAACAACACAAATATCCTTTATGTATTTAATCCCATTCTATTAACCAATGTCTTTAAAAAACACAGATTCAGTATTCCTCAAAATGAATAAAAATAATGCAACTCAGAATATGACGCAAACCTGCAATAATTAAATGTTAAACAACACAAATATCCTTTATGTATTTAATCCCATTCTATTAACCAATGTCTTTGGTTCTGACCTTCGATGATCCAATTCAGCCGTACTAATAAGCACAAATTACTCTAGACAAACATTTGTCTTTTTTATTGCTGAAGTGTGTTGAAATTTCTTCTTCTTCGTTCTACTGTATGGACGTACATTTACTTTCCCTTCAGCCTGAGGCTTATGCATTTCACTTTTGGTGTGAAAAGGCTTTTATATTTGCCAAAAATAGAACTTTTTTATTTTAAAAACAAACAAACAAGCCCTGTCCAGATTTAAAAAGTAACACAAAAGTAACGTAATGAATTACTTTCCATAAAAAAGTAACTAAGTAACGTAATTAGTTACTTTTTTATGGAGTAACGCAATATTGTAATGCATTACTTTTAAAAGTAACTTTCCCCAACACTGGCAAGGAGAAACAAGACAGAGGCAAAAATAAGGTACCTAATTTCAGTTCCTCTTCAGGAACTCCAGCTACGTCGAGAACTCTAGGGGAACGCCTTCAGCGACCCACGCTCTGAATCACATGTGAAATCAGTCCAATAGCTGAGCAGGATGTCACGGCGGATGACGTCATGACCAGGAAGCTATAAAAGCATGTGCGGCGGAGCCAGCGTCAGCTTTCTGTCATTCAGCGAAGCGCTCTGTGTGTGTCAGTCATATTTATTGTTGTCTGTCAAAAGTCTATAAGCTCCAGCTATGTCTAAGCTCATGCAAGGACAAAGCATTTCAAGGGCGAGAGCAAGCCACATTGTAGGTTGTGTGTTCCTCCCTGCCCAAGATAATATCACGAGTGGGGACACACACAGCCTGTGCGTGGTTTGCTTGGGAGCGAAGCATAGTTGTTACTGCCTTGCTTCGCTCTCAGAGGGCTTTCTTTGAGGAGGGAGCCTTCACTAGCGTTCCTTGCGGTGCCGGCCCCGCTTTCGCCGAGGTGGAGCGGCGGCTGTGCTCAAGGGTTTCGCGTATGGATCTGCTCATCTCCAGATCCGGTGCCCGCTCTCGGTGTTTCGGAAGCCCGCGCTGCGGTACTTCCCCCCCGTGGAGAGGGCGCGACGCTCCGCCTGTCTTTCTCCGAGGAGATTGATACGGAGGGCGTCAAAGAGCTCGCCAGTTGCACAAACATCAGTTACACAAGCATATTATGCCTGATATTATAATGAGCAGCATTAATAAGGAGCGGAGCTCACGCAGTCGGGGCGGATTGTGTTGGAGACGGCTCTTCCTATCTCCACCCGTGTTCGCTAGATTTAGAGCTTGTTTGTTTGTCAAGGAGATTGATGTTGATCGTGTGACCTAATGGCTCGTGCACAGCGCATATATGAGCATCTTATAGTTGTATCTTTATTTGTAAATGTTTGAAATTACGTATTTATATTTTGCTATTTACAAAAAAACCTGTAGCATGAAGAATGTTTTGCAGCCAGTTGCAGCAGTTTTGAAAGAAAAAAAAAAGTATGTAGTAAATGTATGTAGTAAATGTGATGCAACAGGCTTTTGAGGAACGTTAATTTGTGTCTTTCAATCATCATTGTGTTGCATTGCATTTTGTGTTTTACCTTTTGCCCCCCACAATGGAAACTACATAGAAATGATATTTATATGCATCTTCTGTAAAGAGTCTGGTATTCAGTTATATATAAAAGATATTAAACCATCAGAATTTCATCTTTATTTTTGGCCATATAAATATCTGCAACTGCACCAAAGTGCATATTTTTGCTTATTTTGGAACAATCCACCTACCTGCAAGGAAGGAAGGATTGCATTCAGACTATTTGCTGAACATCCCAAAATACAGCTTTCACACCAACTAATCTTTTAAGTCAAACTGACTCGGGTCCACACCAAAAGCTCTAGTCAGGTGAAAGCACCACTGATGCACAAGTAGCTTGTACAAGAGTTTATGAAAAACATTAGATGAAATGCAAAGCTAAAAAAAATCAATCAATCAATCAATCCAGCTGAGCAACTCAAATTGCCACAGGGGCTGGTAGTTTGAAAACATAAATTCTTCAGTTTTTTGCCCTGAGGAGTTTGTCTGACTGGGTAATTCTTGGCTGACTTTTGGATGTTTCATATTTTCCCTTGCTCTCTCTCACTTTTCTTGGCTGGTCTGAATCAATTGAACAAACTGGCATGATATTTGATGGCCCCTGAGCTCCAATTATTACAACAATATTATGGCACGGGTAAGTCAGGAGTTTCTCAGCAGAATGCCAATATAGCAGGGAAGCTATTTGTATTTGCTGTTAGTCCTTTAGGGCACGAGGAAGGGCAAACTGCTCAGTAACTCAATTTTTAACAATTAGCCCCTGACATATCCCTATGAGAACTGATACATCACTACATTGTTGATGAAATATCTAAAAAAAACAAGGATTAGCCATTTCGTTTCTCCACAAAACAAGTATCATGTGAATGAGACCTGTCAAGAACAAGTGGCGTTTTCAACAAACGCAAATGTGGAACAGTCACTTTCTGGAGTTATAAATTTTTTTTGCTGCACAACACCTTTATCGGGATTAGCTTTTGGTGTGCACGCAACATAAAGTTTACGATAATAATAAGGTTCGTTCACTTTTCTCCTACACTGCATTGGTGCAATTTCTTATTGGCATGCACCATAATTCAAACAGATTGAATCAGATAATATACAACATGGTTGTTTTGGGCTTTGCAACTATTACCAAAAACATTCACAAGGGGGAAGAAAGACCATGATTGTTTAATTATTTCAGAATATGTAGAGCATGCTTATCATCTATGTATTGCAGCTATGTAATTGTGGCTCATGTTCATATTCACTGCCGGACCCTTAGGCTGGGTTAATAGACCTGTCATCACCTTACTGTTCTTGGCTGGAGTGGCACAAATCCTAAAAACAGGGCGAGGCCCTGGGCCAAAACTAACCTTGCTGCGTCAAAAAAATAGGTGAAACCCCAATGTAGAGCAGGTTGAGTTTGGTATATAAATGAAGGCCAAGCACTCTCTGTTCAACAGCTGCATTATAGCTCTGTTCATTATATAAATTATAATGGTAGTTTGTTTGATTCACCAAAATAAGCACCATGCAAGCCTCACACAGATGAGATGAGATAGAAATAAAAAAAAAAGTTTTAAGCCTAATTGGTTTTCAAGTTTCATAAAATTTGTCTGATAGATTTTTTTTTAATTTGTTTCTAATCAATGTCGGGTTTGTGTCAACTGCCTTTCCACTTCTCAAAAGTGGAGATGAGAAATATGAAAATATGCAGTGTTAGTTAGTTCACTGAATTGGGATAATAAGCAGCCACCAAGAAAAACCCTACTAACCACCCAAAACACCCTGTTTCAGGATTGTGCAGGCATGTTTTGCACAGATATTTAAAAAAATCTAGTTTTCTCTAAATACTCTAAATGCATATCAGGTGCTGATAAATCGAATTCTAGATAGAATCTTATTTACATGAAATCCTTGAGTCTTCTTACATGCCTACGATCTGAAAGTCACGTAGTCCATTACCAGTCATGTGCTGGAGATTTTCCTTCTTAATTTTTGTTGATTCATGATTGGAGGTGTTCGTGCAAATCCAAAGATTTTAATAGCAACCTGGCAAATTAGCTCTGGAGCCACTAAACGCTCCATAATAACATCTATCTGGGCAGGAGCTGCCTCATTAAGATAAATAATTAATGAATCTGTCATAATTATGAAACTGCTCACAAGCAAGACTAATTGTACTCATAGTTTAATTAGAGTAGACGCCTGCCACTCAAACACTCCTCTCCAGTTCTGTTCCATGTTGGCCGGAGATACTCCATGTCCAAGATAACGCTCCAAATAGGAATTCAGTTCATATCCCGGACTCCAACATTAGCCAAATTGTGAAACTTAATTAATATTCTAAGCAAATTTCCACAGCCAGATGACCAGCACTAATTGCTCGGTGTTGCACCTGTGGTCCGTAACTGCTCATGACTGGACGATGTTTGCAGCAGTCTGCAAATTTTGAAAAAACAGCAAGAGGAAGGCTATCCATCTCTATATCGACCGGCGAGCTGCAGCGGCCTGCGAATCAAGTGCGCTGAGATGTAATGCATGCACAATCCAAACAACCACAAGGTCACACCACAATATCATCAAAGGCCTTGAGTGGCCCGGCACAGAGCACTTTGAATAATGAGACCTACTTCCTCTTTCTTTCCGAGCCGCCACCTCATCTACACTCTGACAGAATGAACCAAGCGTTGCCAGAGCAGTCAACCTTCAGAACAGGAGAGCAGAGAAATAAATTAGATGGCATCGACATGCAGATGGAGAAAGAGAGAAAAACATGAAAGTTCAAGGGAGAAAGAAGGACCTCTTTCAACCCATCTACCCACAAACCCACAGCAGACAATGGCTAGACAACCCCACTTCAGAGGATGAGAAAAATGTGGCAAATTGACAGGTACTATGAGATCTAGGAGAGTCATTTACATACAGTACAATTGGCTCGACACTTTAGATTTCACTGCAGCTAAATGATGGTTGAGCATGTATAAAGAGAAAGCATAATTAAACTGGATTTTTACATTTTCAGAAGAAAATAGTCCTTTAGGAGGAGTAATCAATATCACACCTATTGCAATGTTACTATCACAAAGAGTGTGGGACAAGTTACATGCTTTAGTTCAATACTTTGGATTTGTGAACCCTTAACCCTAAATATGAGCAGTACTAACAGCCGGGATAGGGGTGATATGGATGACTGACATGTCTCTGCACATGTATCAGCCATCCTGTAATAGAAACAGGAATGCCTTCAGCAAGTATTTTTTATCCATCGGCTCAACAGGAAATGTGGAGTGTGTCGTGCTGTGACACGGGTCTCTCCCAGACAATGGCTCATCTATTTCTGCACTGTCAGCTCGCCCTTAAAGCACAGTTGTCAAACTTAATTGTATTACCTGCAGAGCCGGGAGCCCTTTTTAATAATTTATTCCTGGAGGAGGGAGAAAATAGGATGCGAGATGAGGTTCTGCGGCTGTGGAGTGTGTTTATACTCTCTGAAACACGGATACGACAAAGTAGCATTAACTTGGAATGACAAGAGGAAACGCTTTGGTGTCCTCCAGTAGAGGAGCCAGTCATTTGATTCTTCCAGCCTCATTGCGTAGAATCTGAAGACAATCATCTCTGGCACAAAAGCAGTTATCTGAGATATGACTTGTATTGTTAAAGAGACAGTAGCAAGCTGTGTTACAAAACTTGAGCTTGCCTACCTAGGCAGCGTTTTAAGACATCACAGGAGAGCTCCCAACGTGAGGGAAGCTCATAAATTCTGCTGGCCTATATGAAAAAACTCTGGCCAAATTTAAACGAAGCATGCATGTATTCTTCAGAGATAAAGCAATCCCAGAATGCACCACAGTGAGCTTAAATATTTTGATCCAAAATGGTAGAAATCAAGGGATAGGTCAATTGTATGTACAAATATATGTTGTTGTCTATCACATGTATGAACATATAACACATTTGAAAAAAAAAAAATCTACAAAGAACTTTAGTTCTTTACTTTTAGTTCATTACTCAAAAAACTTTACAATGTTCAAAAAATTATTAGATATTATTAAATCATTACTAATGTAATTTTGATCTCTTGACTATTCCATCCATATTTGCATTTAGCCTTCTGTAAGACTGGAAATGAATTTTGGTTTCATCTGAAGTCTTTTTAGCGTTTGTATTTTTAGCTTTAATGCTGTTAAGAGGGACGATTGAGACGATTCAGGGTGGGTTTTAGCTTGCTGTAACATCACTAAAAATATTAAATTCAAAAGATCTTATAAACTAGAGCTCACTAGACTTATGTCAACTTCGCTTTTCCACTGCGTGGTACGGCTCGGCTTGGCACAGCTCAGTTCGGTACGACACGGCACGGCTCGGTTTGCGTCTCCACTGCAGTTCAGTACTGCTTTAGAGTGGGCGGGATTATTCACATGTCGTTATAGTTGCGCCGCCTCTATTAGGAATGAGAATGTGACGTAACGCCGCGTTGAGTTCTGGGAAACTGTTTTGTTTATCCGCCATATTTGCAGGATATCGCTGCCGTTCCGCTATTGAGTTTAGGGCAGTATTTGATTGTTTGTCGTGATTGTGAAAAATGTCACCAGTGTATGTCATTCATACTGCATCGATAATTGCAATAGTAACTCAGATCATCGTTCTGAGAGAATTTTCATTCCGCGTCGCCCCATCAAGCTCGCTGGATCTGCTCCTCTGCTATCAACGAGAGGAACGTCTGTACTTCCTCAACAGACAACGAAACAATCACTTTTTGGTTGTTAAAAAAGGTGCACTCGTTCAAAACAGTTGCGTTCAATCATTCGCTGGCTGTGCTGATTTAAATCTAGCGGTTCTGTTGTGTTTGTGTCGCAAGTTCAGTGACGCAGGTAGTGACGATTCTCTCCGGCCAATCCGTGATCAGCAGAGTTTACACGTCACGTTTTGGTAATGGTACGGTTCACTTAGAACCTCAACCGAGGTGGTACTAAACCACCAGGTACTGTACCCAGTGGAAAACCCCCCAAAAGTGAACCGTACCGTGCTGTACCATGCAGTGGAAAAGCGCCATAACAGATTGGCAGCATGTCGCAGTATTTGTGCACACAGCTTTACAGCCGAATAGCAATAATCATACGCTTTCTCCTGAACTGTCCTTTCTCAAATGTGGTGGTAGGAAGTCTGATTCACTATAGTGGACCACTTTATTTGGACAGTTTGTGTATCAAGCAGCAGTAAAAAATAAATAAAAAACGACGACTTGATTTGATTAATTTCTGCAGGAAGACCCTTTGAGGCATTTTTATGTAGCACAATATGTAGTTAAATGCTATTGTTCATCAATGTTGTTTAACTGTGTCACCCTAAATAAGATAGATAAAAGCTATTGTGAATAAAGAAGTGAATTATATAGTCTGATCGATCTGAAAAGATATTGCTCGACTTAAATGGCTTCAGTGTAGAAAGCTAGGTTGCTTATTATACACTGATCAGCCACAACATTAAAACCACAAACAGATGAAGTGAATAACTGTGATTATATCAGTACAGTGGCACCTGTCAAGGGGTGGGATATAGGCTATTAGGCAACAAGTAAACAGTCAGTTTCTGAATTTCATGTGTTGGAGGCAGGAAAAAATGGGCAATCGAAAAGATCTGAGTGACTTTGACAATAGCCAAATAATGTTGGCTAGACGACTGGGTCAGGGCATCTCCACAAACAGCAAGTCTTGTGGGCTGTTCCTGGTATGCAGTGGTTAGTACATATAAAAAATGGTGGAAGGAAGGACAACCGGTGAACCGGCGTCAGGGTCATGGGTGCCCAAGGCTCATTGATGCACATGGGGAGTGAAGGCGAGCCTGTCTGGTCTGATCACAAAGAAGAGTTACTGTAGCTCAGAGTGCTGAAAAACTTAATGCTGGCCATGATAGAAAGTATCAGAACACACAGTGTGTCGCAGTTTGCTGCATTTGGGCCTTAGCCACAGATCAGTCAAAGTGGCCATGGAGCAATAGAAAAGTTTTTTTTTTCTTCAGATCAGGTGGATGGTTGGGTGTGTGTATGTCATTTACCTGGGGAAGTGATGGCAGCTATGAGAAGAAGGCAGGCCAACGGAGGCGTTGTTATGCTCTAGGCCATGTTCTGCTGGGAAACCTTGGGTCCTGCATTCATGTGGATGTTACTTTGACAAAAACCATCTTCCTAAAGATTGTTGCAGACCACGTACAGCCCTTCATGGCAATTGTGTTCACTGATGACAGTGGCCTATTTTAGCAGGATAATGCACCTGCCACACTGCTAAAATTGTTCAGGAATGGTTTGAGGAAGATGACAAAGGCCTTGGCCTCCAATTTCTTTAGATGTCACTCCAACTGAGCATCTGTGAGATGTGCTGGACCATCAAATCAGATCCATGGAGGCCCCACCTCGCAACTTGCAACATCTACTGCTTATGTTTTTGTGCCAGATAACACAGGACACGTTCAAGAGGTCTTGTGGAGTCCATGCCTGACACTTCAGCATGAGGGGAACCTACACAATATAAGGTGGTTTTAATGTTGCAGCTGATTAGAGTAAAACGCTTCTTTAAGACCAAATAGCTGTTCAAATGACCCACAAACATCAAAATATGTAATTGCACACAACCTTAATACAAACCCAATTCCAAAAAAGTTGGGACATTTTCCCTTAAAATGATACATTTTCTCAGTTTAAACATTTGATATGTCATCTATGTTGTATTCTGAATAAAATATTGAAATTTGAAACTTCCACATCATTGCATTCTGTTTTTATTCACAATTTGTACAGTGTCCCAACTTTTTTGGAATCGGGTTTGTATATACTGTAAACAAAGCTGTTGGAAACCCTGCCACATTAAAAGCTGTAGTGTTCCTAGATTTCCAACATATGGTGCAATCAACTGTGTAATATTGCATACAGGCTTTTGTAGATAATAGACTTCAAAGCTTATTTGCAGGGGGCAACCAGCGCAAATGCCCAGCTCATTACTGTAGCATCACGATACACAGAGTTTCATCCCATATACAGAGCATTAGATGTGTTCCCATTATTTAGCCAGATTAAAAGCTTTGGAGGTTCAAAGCCCAAGTGATGTGTTAAGCTGGAGTTCAGAGCCCCAGGGACACTTATCAAATCCCTAACCCACTGCTTGCTTTGCACAAGCAGAGACTCTTGACCTCTTAAAGGGGCTGGTTTAGAGAGAGGCCATTTCTCTGAGTAGAGAAGAGAGTTTACACACAAGATATATCAGATCTAAAGGTATAGAGGTCAGTCCACTGAGACCTGTGTTTTAAACAGTGCTTGCTGTTTCCTCTTCTGCTGCTATCATTGGCTCAGAGCGGCAATTTACGTTAGAGATGCTGGAGCTTATCAACTCATGGTTATTCCCTTAGGTATCAGTCCATCCCAGGTTGTTCATCCTACAAAGGTCCATATAGAGTTCAACAGTGTCCACCCATTTTTTTTTCAGCAGCATGGGTTCCGGAACTATTTCCCCCATTAATTTTTTCTATAGACATTTCACAAAATTCTTCAATAAAGAGATGTAAGCCCTGAACCCAAGCAACCAGTTGTGTTTCAAATCAATAACCAATCTTCTTATGGGAAAAAGGCTGTGCTATAATGTTTTGCCTTATATGAAAAATACACTACTGGGGATTTCTTACCGTTTATTTTTTTTATTAATTATTGAGCCATTACATTAAATCTATGTTCAGAATCTTGGTTTTGTCTTCCCCAAGTTACAGTGAACCCACTACAATAATTTATTTTGGTTCAAATTTGGTGAGAACTGTATTTAACATATTCGTCCTTGTGTGTTTATGTAAAAAAAAAAAATCGATCCACTAATTATACTAATTTGTGTAGAGTACATTATTCAAATATATGTCTTGTTTTTTCTTACTTTTTCTTACTGTTAAGAGTCTTGGCATTGCTACTCAGATGGCAACCATCACGCAATGATAATAGAGATGATTAAAAAAAATCACCTTTTTCCATTTCCCATAATTTAACTGAGGCAGCTACACTGGCCTGTATTGTTTGAATTTCATGGTAAAAATGTCAGAATTTGAAAGCTGAGACTTTGTTTAATATTAAAATTAACAAAGCTTGTGATTATTGAAAGGTAGGGTGGCAACAAGTAATGTTTAGTAAGATTTGTTCACGTATCAACAGAAAACAGCATAGACTAAAAGATTGGGGTTTAAGAATCAGTACTGGTTCATCAAAATGATGATTGATTAAAATTGAGAAAATGCTAGTTAACTCAGCCCAAGCATCCACAACCTGAAAAGCTTACGTTATGTAGTTTATCCACATTGTGTGCACAGTCAACAAGCACTGTCGGATAAGTACTAATGAAAAGACAGTGTTTGGCCAACGATTTTGGCTTTTCAAAACCATTTCGGCAAAAATTTTGGTTGCCGAAATTTTGGTGCATCTCTAGTAAACAGGGCCACTTTTATACACTGTGATTGATTTGTTTCACCTGACAAACTTTGAGCTTATTGTAGGGTAGATATTTAGTATAATTGCCTCCATTTTGCATGGTTTTCGGAACATTTTCTGGACTCTCTACTCTATTTAGGTTGAATTGCTTCATAGAATCATGGGAAAATAAACAGTTCTCAGAAGTGAGCATTGAGTGGTGAGAGGAAGAACTTCATTTTGCTATGACAGCAGCAATAGAGGACTACAAATTACTGTGCCATTAATGTGAAGTAACTGTTTCCTGAGCAATGATTGCATATCAGTGCAGCCTGTTAAGAAAAACTACTGTCACTTCAGCTTGATAAAGTTGAGTTTGGTCCACGGCCTGAGAAGAGGAATGGTGTGTGTTTGTTATGCGTATGTGTGTGTGTTTCTAACATGCTTGAGAGGATAAAGCAGGTAGTAGTGCTTGGGAACTAATTGAAATGAGAGGCGATGTGCAAGTCTCCTCCAACATCGCCAAGCCATTCGTCAGGGTGACATCACTGTACTCACACCACATCCATCTTCTAGAGCAGGCCCAGGCTTGCACCGCTCGCCGTGATTAATATCCATACCTCCCAACCGCATACCGTCACTACCAGTGCATTCAAACACAAGCACACTGGGAGGCAGCGGGCAGCTTCCCCTGTAATCTTCTGTAGAGCTGGACAGCTGTGGTGTGGGCTCCTTTTCCATGCCTGTGCCACTGATGGTGGAAAGGGAGCTGGCAAGGAAGAGTGGCGGTGTAGCACTACTTTATTGCCCATCCAGTAGGAGACTATGCTGGCTCTGCTGGTATCCGAACACTTGATAGCCCCCTAATGAGTTGGATTATGTTTTTTCACCTTCGACTCCAGATAAAGTGTTAGCAAAACACAAGACGCAGGATCAGCAAAACTGTAAGCCATTCCCACAGCAACCACCTGGCTTGAGTTCCAACCACATCTGTGCTGATAATTAATGAAAGAGTTTATCTAATGTTGAAAATGGTCACCAACTACTAATTTTTTTCCAAACTTTTATGACTTTTTTTGCATACAGAAAGCATATAAAGACCAGAAGCTATCAAAAAGGGCAACAAAAGTGACTTGTGCTTTTGAGCTGACTGACACAAACAATGAGATGTAAGAGCTGTAGCGAAGGGCAAGATTTTCAGTGAGAAGCAACTGAAGTTTTGGTCTCTTCCTCACACAAAGACTTGGAATATTAAAAGGGTCATCGGATGCCCATTTTCCACAAGTTGATATGATTCTTTAGGGACTTAATGAAAAGTCTGTAACATAATGTGGTTAAAATTTCTCAATGGTAGTGTAAAAAATAGTTTTACCCTGTCAAAATCAGCACTGATTTCAGCAAGCCATTCTAGTCCATGTTGCTTTAAATGATAATGAGCTCTACTGACCCCGCCCCTCTCTTCCATGGGGTTAACTAGCAGACTGACAGAAAATCCTTTCAGAGACTCATGGCCAGCAACTCACACTATAAGAGCTTGCAGGGAATGCCCACTTCCATGAAGCACCTTAAATGATGTAATTAAAATAGTCTCCCTATGATCTCAAAATACTACATATGCATACTATGTGCATACTGTATATTGCAATAAACCTAAAATATTGTTTCTACAGACCTTGTGTAGCTCCGTACCTTTTCAGCGCTGCACTCATTGTCTTGTCTTGCGTTTGTATTTCCACAGCGTGAAGGTAAGGTTGTACAAATTTATGAATGAAACACTCATTTTAAAATCTTCCTGGGCTACTGACCTTTGTTATGACCTATTGTTAATTACTCGAAAATTCAAGGATTTCATTTTTTTCTTTGAACGGAAATTCAAAGACAAAATTCTAAAGATGGCTGCAAACTTGTTTCTCTGACGCATAAGGTCTATAGATAAAATCAACAACTTTGTTGAAAGAATAGTTTGACAGAAGTCATATATAGTAGTATAACATGACAAATGTCATACAGGTTTGGAACAACATTGTGGTGAGTAAACGCTCACATCATTTTCATTTTCAAGTGAACTATTCCTTTGAGAACAAGCTGGAACCGTGCGATGACAGATGAAAAAAGATGGTATTATCAAAGCAGGCTGTCAGACCGAAAAGAGCGGCACAAACGTGTTTGGAGTTTTGCGTTGCTTTTCTTCAAACTTCTAAGCTAAAAATCCCCCCACCCCCCAAAGCCTCTCATTATCAGGAGATGAAATTGCAGCTCCCACCTGCGATCGGGGGTGAGCAGCACTTTGAAGATGCTCTGAAATGTGACCGTGTATGCCTGCTCCCTTAGAATGATTTGCTTTGATAACCCCCCGTCTGATGTATGCAAGAGTTCCATACTCTTGTAGGTCTCAGGCTGCAGCTTACACTTAGCGTAAAAGCCTTTTGCTGTCTTTGAGATGCACAGCGAGTCGCCCCCACCCTGACACACACACTTCCATTCAGTGCCATTCAATGCTGGGATGTGATTGATTGGGAAGTGCTACATGAGAGCAGGGCCGTTCAATGCACACCACTCTTTTGTCATTCACAGGGTTCCTGCCTGCCCAGAGAGAGAGAATGTCATGTAATCAGATTAAGAGAAGTGCTGTCACAGGACAGGATGGCTAACAGCTGGCCCATAAGCACCCTGATTTACTTTATGCTGCTTACTGCATACTCCTAAAGGCATAGGACTTTAGTGGAAGCAATTTGTTTTATCAGTCCCAAATTTCCCAGGTTGTTTATCCTCTCCTATCAACAATATGGGTTTTGGTTTGTAGCGTTCCACCACGGCAAATAAATATGACAGGTTTTTGTGTCTTTGAGGTGAATGTGTTTAATACCTTAGAAATTGCATGTCCGTTGCAATCTCATCAACTGCTCATTTCGGCTGAATTGAAAATCTAAATTCTAAGAATGTATTTCCTGTGCAGTTACACATGCACACACACACACACACACACACAGACTGGTTGTTTCATCTAATAGTAAAGCGTTTGGACTGAGATTCTTCTCGCCAAGAGCTCTTACTGTTATTAAGAGCGCAAAGATGGAAGGCGGTCTTGTCAGAGCTCATCTAAATCTAGGTATGACATTCCTCTAAAGCTGTCCTATCATATATCTGCAGTCATTAATTCAATGCCAGTCACTCAATCACTAGCCTCTCGTTGATAAATGATGGAATTATATGACTTATAGGTCAATGATGAGGTGTTCATTTTATTTTTCTGGATGTAGTCATTTATTCAAAAATATATCACAATGCAGTACATAGAGGCAGGATTGGAATATGCCTCTTCTGTGATTAATATGTTAATAAGTCCAAAATGCCAAATGGATATATATAACTCACAGATATATTAATAAGCAGATGCAGTGTTCAACTTCTCCACATATATCACTGCTACAGCCATCTTGAAAGAGTCAACAAGAGCTGGATAAATGGATGTCGAAGCTTCAGCAGTGAGCTTCAATTAATTGTAATTCCGCAGGCAGCGTTTGGTTGAACTCATCACAAATAATCAAACTGGCAGACCTAATGAACGCTGCACTGTAATTACTGTATATTCTATAGTGGATATTGCACTGCCATTATTAGCTAAGTTCATGTATTATGTCTGCTGAAACAAGCTTAGTTTGTTTGGGTGCCGTATGTAATATTGAAATGGGTACTGCAGTCCAGATTCAAAATATTGCTTCTTCCATCCCGTGGGTTGTCAGATTGAGGAGACGCAACAGGTATAAGAGCAATTAACACTGGAAGGCGACGTGCCTTACACTGTAAGTTGATGAGTTAATTTATCCGTGTTTTAATATTCCTCTGGTCATAGAGCTTTTTAGATGGATGCCGAGGCTTTTTAGGTCGGGTAGAATCTGCAGTCTCTGACCCAGTTCGTTTACTGGCTTCCATGGCTGCGATACGCTGTGATCCACTCTCTAGCAACCCGAGGTGTGTAAATACTATTGGTTGAACTGGCAGTGGGCGGAATCACAATGACCAAAACAAAAACATGCATTCCGACACGGAACACACATTTTCAAAGTAGAATAACTGGCTTTAGTGTTGTTTTTCGGAAAAACAAGTATGTGAACTTAGCATGTTTTCTAAATATCTGTGAATGTGTTATAGTGTTTTTATGCTTGGGTACAGTCAAAATATTACATACAGCACCTTTAATATGCGTCAAAATCACTATAAAATGCTTTTGGTGTCCTCATCAGAATCACTTAGTCATCATGAACATAATACAATATAATGAAATTCTGAAATTATATGATAAATGACCTAACATTTGCACATATACAGTCTCTTGAAATGTATTTTTCTCATTTTATACCATTTTCTTTGATTGGATGTGTGTAATTTTGGCATGTCCCTCACGCAGCTCAGCTAACTTCAATGAGTGCAAAAAGTGGTTAAATAACACAATATTGAAATAATTTTTAAATATTTTAATTGCCCTCAGCCAGTTGTTAATAAGATTGTTCATTTATATTGTATTTTCATAATAATATTAACCATTTTGCATGTGTCCCTGAAATTGCTGTCCACCCTGTCATGATAAATTGCAAATGCCCGTTTAAGAAACCCTCTGATCAACTCAGTGAAATCTCCACCCCCATTTTGCCTTTCTTCTGTGGAGGTTAAAACATCTGCTGCAAGTACACTAAGTATCTACACTTATATTTAATCATATTGTGTTTGTAGTTGCATGTTGCCAAGCTTAACATGTCGACCCTGTCATAGTAAAATATAAATTTACATAAAAGTTTTTCAGAAATTCTAAATATATATTTTAAGTAGTACACATTCAGCTTAAACAATGAACCACTTTGCTGACTGAAGGTACACCATGTGTTTATTAAATGCTAACTTTAACCAAAAATGTCCACCCTGTCACCAAGCCTTCCATGACAGGGTGGACATGGTACACGCCAGGGGGGACATGTGCATGGTTTTCGCCAAATTCTGATAATGTTTTAACAAAGGCTATTAATTTTAAATATTCAATTGTTGTGATTAATTATAGGGGGAAAGAAAGGTTGAATTGATAAATGCATTTAATGCACCCCAGCTCAGAACTGTATGCTATCTTACATTGCATGCAGTTGCTTAGTGATGAACATGATGGAAGGCAACGACTGTTCAACATCTGTGATGTAGCCTATTAGAATGCAGTTAGAATGTACCTAACATTCAAGATAAGTGGGCAAAAAATGCCCAAAGCAAAAGTGCCATTTTCCTGAATATCTGCTCGATTACAAATGTGATATTGACTTTATACAACAGTTCAATAAACAAACAAATGATAGTTACATTTTAAACCCAACACTGTCAATATTGTCTGTTTTTGTTCTATTTCTCCAAAGAAAATAGTTTCAAAAAATCCACAGTGAAACTGTTGTGTATCTCTGAGCAACACAAAGTGGTGTTTCGTTACTGAATGACTCCGTGTTTTTAACAAATCTAGTGAGTGGTTTTAGTTTCATATTTAGAGTATCATTTCATTTTGTATTACTTTCAAAATGAAATATTACATTTTTAAAATCCCCATTAATACCCTGAGTTCAGCTCATGAAATATGGGGGCAAAAACAAAAGTGTAGCGTTTATAATTTTGTTCAGTGTAATAAGGTATAAGGAAAAATGGCCTTATAAATGTAAAAATGCCCTTTTAAATCAATTTACAATTTACAATTGGAACAAAGGATATATATTTCTGAAATCATTCTTTATATCACTTAAGGGTTTTTTGTTGTTCCTGTTGTTTATCTGATGTCCTCTTCACCCATTAATGCATATGTCCACCCTGTCATGCCAAGGTCCAACCTGTCATCTTGTTGTCCACCCTGTCATCTTCATCTTTTATGAAAATTAACAAATTATTTAAACAAGTTAGCAAAACCTTTTCTGTGATTTCTTTATAAAGAAATGAGGGCTAGTTAGTATTCATTGAAAGTTTGACCAGATATCTTTGTCGTTTGATTTTATTTAGAAAAGAAAGTCCAACTTTAGCATATTTTATAGGGATACAAATATGTTGCAGTAATTTCAGTTTTTCAAAAGACTTTTCCCACTGAATAAAAAAAATTGTTGAGAAAGGGACAAATTATCTTTCTGAAAATCTACATTTTATAATCATTATGTTATGAAAATGTATATACTCTACTTTGAATTTGTCCATGACAGGGTGGACATATTTTGTGGTTTACTCGAAAATTGTCTGCTTGCAGTTATTTTATAAAAAAGTGCAGGAGCTTGACCAATATGCATTTCTAACAGCCTACAGTC